CTGTAATCCCAGCACTTTGGGAGGCTGATACAAGAGGAACACTGAGTCAAATCCAGAAACTTGAACTCAAGTTTGGGCAACTCAAAAACTTTGGAAGACTCTGTCTCAAATTAAACACTAAACAAAAAAGGAGGCATGGGGGCCAACCAAATAGCTCAGCAGATTAAAGCACCTGCAAGCAGGCACAGGGGCCAGAGGTACGATCCCCAGGCCTGCTGTGCCAGCCCTATCCCCGGGGCACACTGAGAGGTGATTGAGACTGGTTGTGGTGGCGCTTGCCTGTAATCCAGCTCTTGGGAGGCTGTAAACAGGCGGATCACTACGAGTCTGATCTAGTAGTGAGACCCTGAACACTCTGTAGACCCTTCTCTAAAATACGGAAAAAAATAAAAGGAGGCAGGATATAGTTTAATATGAAAACTCTGGGTTCAACGAAGTAGTGAAAAAAAAAATGAGAGGAAGAGAAGGGAATAGAAAGGTAGGAAAGAAAATAGAATGGAAGAGGAGAGGGCAGAGGGAAGGAAGAGCAGATCACATTCCTCAAGTCGATCCTCAGTCTCTTAACAAGAGTAACCACTGCAGAGGAGGGAGAAGCAGCAACATTGTTCTGTATGTTTTCACCTCAACTGATTCTAACCTCAGCTGTTGAGACTTGTGTGTAGTCAATGCGGCATGCAGATACCTCTTTCATACACTGCGTATGCTTCTTTCCGGTATCTACCAAGGAGGGGTATAACTAGACTGTAGGGTAATTCTATTTTCAGGCTTTCAAGGAATCTTCATACTGATTATTGAACTCAAGTTTGGCTGTACGAGTTTATTTTCCCACCAACAGCACATCTTGATCAGTATGTATTTTATTGATTGATTAGTTGATTATCAATACATGTGTATGTACATTATGTTTACATCCTTGTGTGGAGTTGGTGCATGTGGATAACGCACCCTAATTTCTCTTTTCATCTTCTTCTCTTCCTCCCCTCCCTTCTCTCTCTTGATCCTTTACCTATGTGAGAAAGCCCTGCCTCCCTACTGCCTGTTACCTTTTATTTTGCTCTTTATTTATATTTTGGGCTTCCCATACAAGAGAAAGCATGTGACATTGAAGTTTGTGTGTCTGACTCGCCAATAGACACTCTGATTAGGGTGAGGCGGAATCTCAGCCTAGTTTGATTTGCATTTCCCTGTGTGGTCAGAAAATGAAAACATGGTGAATATGCACACAACAGAGTTTCAGTCAGTTCTACATAAGAATGAATCAGCGTCCTCTGCAGGAAAATGGGGGGAAATGGAGGTCATCATATTAAGTGAGACCATCCAGGTACAGAAAGACAAGCATCACGTGTTTTCTTTCATATGTGGAAGCTGGGGGTGGGGGACGGAAAGGAAGTAGAAAAGGAGCTATTAGAAAAGGGAAGTGGACCAGACAGGGGTAGGGAAAGGGAAGATAGTACAGCATAGTAAGGAGGGTGGGTATGATCAAAGTATGACATTTATATGCATGAAACTGTCAGAGTGAAACCCATTCAGAATCCATGAATTTGTATTAGTACACAGATACAGGGGCTTGCCAGTTAGCTCAGTTGTTTAAAGAGCCTGCTTGGGCAAACCCAGTCAGGCACAGGGGATTGCAGTTCGATGCCCAGCTCCACATGCCTTGTCAGACCTGCCTTTAAAGCAGCCTGAGCCAGCCAAAAAAAGAAGAATCCTTCACAAATCACACATTCATAACTAAAATGTAAGCACAAACAAAGCAACATGTCCTTTTTTTGTCTGTTTTTTTTTTTTTTTTTTTTTTTCGTTTGGTGGATCCGGGGATTGAACTCAGACCCTTGGGCTTGCCAGGGAAGTGCTTATTCTACAGAGCCATCTCAGTGGCCCGTTTTGCGTTTTGAAACAGGGTCTTGCTATACAGTACAGGCTGACCTTGAACTCACTGTGTAGCCAGGCTGGCCTCAAACTCAGCAATTCAACTACTTCAGCCTTGAGAGGGCTGGGATTACCAGTATGCACCAAGGCCCTTGGCTATAAGCCACCTCTCCCTGATGCTGAAAGGTGCAGGAAGGCAGAGCCTATGTTCTCTCTATTCTTGGTCCTAACCTTGTATCTGCATCCAGTGGGCACTCAAGGAACTGTAGAGTGAATAAATGATGAAATGTACGCAGTCATTTAGACATCTCCAAGTACGTAGATACCATCACGGCAGACAAAAGTGATCTTAAGAGAGGGGAGCTAAGACTATGGAAGTTTAAAATGGAACATATTTCAACTTAAAGGATGTTACTTTGTTTTACATATGATATATATGAAATTAAATTTGGGACAAAGATCTAACAGTCAAAGAGAAATTAAGATTGATTGATTAATTCTATAGTTGCAGGGATTAAAACCACAGTCTTGGCCTGGAGAAATAGCTCAATGGAATGAGCACCTATCTGGCAAGTGCAAGGTCCTGAGTTTGATCCCAGTACCAAAGACGAAACAAAACAAAACAAAACAGATCCTTGTGCATATTAGGCTAGTTCTATACCACTGAACTATACCTAGTTCACCTACCCTTAGGCTTATGTTTCTGATGGAGAAAATAAAGTAAAAAGTAGATGGCCTGATTTATTGTGTTGTCTTCCTAGTGAAAGAACCTGAAAGAGTAATTAAAATGCAAAAGGTACAACAGATATTGTGAAAGGGAAAGACACTGTTCAAAGGGAAGAAACAACTTAGATGAGGTAAAGGACAAAAGCAAGAAGGAAGGGAAAAAAGTATCTATGCATGTACGCAGGATAGCTTGTATAACTGTGCTGCTGATTTCCACAAGTCTATTAAAAGGAACAGTTAATGCTTATTTTTTTTCTTTTTAATTTTTTGACCAATTTTGCAAACTTATATCTGGTAATCTGAACAACTAATTTGAAGATAATATGCAAGATAAAAACCATTGTTGAGTTCCTATTACTTTGTTTAGTGAAATTTTGTATTGTTTCTGATGGGCATTTTAAACTATTTTTATTGTCTTTTTATTTAAAAGAAAAAAAGTAAATGGCTTTCATGTCCTGTATGGTCAGCTGTAAAACCTTCTCGATAAATAACACCTCTTGGACTAAACTATAACTAACGGTAAACTAATCCCTGGATATAAATCCCAGAACCAAAGTAATAATAAATTTCTTTTTAATGTATGTATTTATTTGGTACAGGGTCTTACTATTCAGCTCAGACTTTAGTTGTCCTCCTTTTTTCAGGCTCCCCAGCACTGGGATTACAGGCATGCACACCATGCCTGGTCTCAGTGGCTGCTCAGTGTTCCCGGGTTTGGAACTGGTAAAGCATGTGGTGCTGAGGATGGAACCCCAGTCCCTGGGCTTGCCTAAGCAGGCTTTTAATCAACTGAGCTGTCTCACTGGTCCTATAAATTTTGTTCATTTGTTCGATTTTGGTTTTGGTGGTTTTGGTGCTGGGGGTTGAACCTAGGGCCTTACACACGCTGTGTTGAGACATGAAAATCCTACCAATAAGCCACACCCTGGGACCTGACTAAAGGGATTTTATGATAGGGAATTATTGCTACTCCATCCTGAAAATGTCCCCCATTATGCATTCAACATTTTTTTCTTCGATATTGGGGACAGAATTTGGGACCTTGCACTTGCCAGACAGGAGCTTATGCCACTGAGATATACCCCTGGCCCTCAACAAGCATTTTAAAGCACACATAATTCACAGTCATTCTTCAGTGTCTGCAGGAGATCCATTCTGGGACACCCCAAAATGTGTGAGTACTAGAGTCCCTTCTACAAAATGGCAAAACATTTGCATATAACCTAGGCAGACCCTCCTACATGCTTCAAGTCATCCCTATGTGTCTTAGAGTACTAACAAATGCAAGTCATACATAAATAGTTGTTCTGCTGAAGTTTTGAGGGAACAAGGACCAAATAACATCTGTACATGTTCAGTACAGACACAATTCTTTCAAATCCTTCTGATCCATAATCGGGTGAATCCACAGATATAGAACCCAGTGCTTGAAGTACGCAAGGGGAACAAAAGATAGAGCAGCTTCCACTTACATAAGCAGAACTACCACGCACACATGCGGAGCATAGTTAGAATCCCAGTGGGGGTTGTGAGCTAATCTTCGGAATTGAGATATGTGGGTACATCGAGTGTTGGGATGGAGGTAGAGGGGTAAACTGGGACAGGACTGAAGAAGTTCCCATAACAATGGAGTGTTTTTCCATAATGCTTTTGTACAATATCCTCTGAATCAAACTTGAGAAAGAGGGTAGTCTGATTCATGTCACTGCCAGATGGTATTAGGACAATAAGACACCATCAAGGGCCTGGAGTGTAGCTTAGTGGTACAGCACTTGCCAAGCAATCATGAGGCCCAGGGTCTGTCCCCAGCACTACACATACAGAAATAAAAAAGAAAAGAAAAAGAAAAATCAGTGAGTTTTTCAACCTATAATTTTTCCAATCTTCCCCCTCCCTCTACCCTCCCAACTTGAGCAGACCGTGACTACAGGCAGGAAGGAGACATTCCAATGCTCAGGAATTAAACCTGAGAAATGGGGAATAACCACAAATTGGAAATGATGTATAAGAGAACTTTACACAGCATATAACAATAATTTTAAATTAAAGTATTATCGAGGCAATAGTGTTAGATGCATGGATGACAGGGCGGCCCACAGAGATCTTCATCAGTTACAGGAAACAGAACCATTTAGACACATAAGGTTCCACGAGTATACGCATTAGAAATGTATGGTGCATGTAACCACACTTGTCTCCTTGCAGCCTATCTCAATGACTCACATGGAACTAGAGAATCAAACAACTCTTTCAACTTTCCTTCTTCTGGGACTCTCAGAAGATAAGGGCTTGCAGCCCCTTTTGTGCGGGCTGTTCCTGTCCATGTACCTGGTCTGTGTTACAGGAAACCTGCTCATCATCCTGGCCGTCAGCTCTGACTCCCACCTCCACACCCCCATGTACTTCTTCCTCTCCAACCTATCCTTTGTGGACATCTGTTTCACCTCCACCACGGTCCCCAAGATGCTGGTGAACACTCAGACACAGAATAAAGCCATCAGCTATAACGGCTGCTTTACACAGATGTATTTTTTCATGATTTTTTCTGGGCTGGATAGTTTGCTACTGATTGTGATGGCCTATGACCGGCTTGTGGCCATCTGTCACCCACTGCACTACATGGTCATCATGAATCCTCGGTGTTGCAGTCTTCTGCTTCTGCTTTCGTGGCTGTTGTGCCTGGCATATTCTTTGTTGCAAACATTGATGGCTTTGAGAGTATCCTTCTGCAGAGGAACTGAAATCCCCCACTTCTTCTGTGAACTGGCTCAGATGCTCAAGCTAGCCTGCTCGGACACCTTTGCCAATGATCTTCTGCTGTACTGTGTAACTGGCATACTGGGGATCATGCCACTGTCTGGGATTCTTTTTTCTTATTCTAGAATTGTTACTGCCATATTGAGAATGTCATCTCCTGGAGGGAGGAGGTACAAAGCCTTTTCCACCTGTGGGTCTCACCTCTCAGTTGTTGCTTTGTTCTATGGCACAGGCCTTGCGGTTTACCTGACTTCTGGAACCACCCGTCCCTCCAGAGGGGGCTCAGTAGCCTCAGTAATGTACACTGTAGTTGCCCCTATGCTGAACCCCTTCATCTATAGCCTTAGGAACAAAGAGTTGAAGGGGGCTCTGAAGAGAGTTTTTCAGCCAAGGAGTTTGTTCTCAGTGAGATAATGGAGAGTAAGGTCAAAAGAAACCCAGACTTTTGATGACCAATGTGTTTCTGCACTAAATTCCTCTGTAAACTGAAGATACAAAAAGGGAGGCACCACTCATGAAGCAACTAGAAGAAAATACTCTGGAGCTGAAGACAAGCTTGAAGTAACACATCAAAGGCTCATTAACACGTGACGGGTGTCACTCCATGGTAAAGTGTTTGCCTAGCTTGTGCAAGGTCCTGGCTTCAATCCCAAAACCACAAAAGTTAAAAAAATAAAAATAAAAACTCATCATCTACTAAGGAAAATAATATCCAACTAGAACCCTAGACTTTGAAAAATAGGCTATTTGAAGGATAGACTTTTATAACCACCAAGGGAAGAGAATGCAAGTTAAAGAGTAAAACAAGGGAGAAAACAGGAAAGAAGTGGCATGTATTTTGCACATTTCTGGCTCATTTTTACCCCTCTTGATTATAGTTTAGTTCCCTAACTGTTGGACTTTACTCAGGTCTCTATCCAGAAAATGTGTTACCTGGATGATCTTAAATTGATTTCCCTCTTTCCCTGTAAAATTTTACTTCTGAATTTTTCTTTGGGGTTTGTTATAGGTCTGGGAGTCTAACTCAGTGGCAGAGTCCTTGGCCAGCATGTACAAGGTTGGATGCATAGAACCACAAACAAATAAATGAATGAATAAATAGATGCTTTTGTTAAAAAAAAAAAAGACTTCCTCAGGAAACCACTGTAGTATCTATTTTTAAGAGAAATAAAATTCTGGCCTTGTCAATCTGTATAAGCCAGTTCTGAAACAGAACTGCAATGCAATCCACTTGCTATCAGTCTTGCCTGGTCCCACATTCCTCACATCTGGCTACTACTACTCAGAAGTTAGTGTTCAAACAAAAACTGTCACCCTTTTAGAGAGATCTTGCCACTACCCTCCCATGCATCCCAGTTCTGAAGGCACCTGCCCTTGAGGGACAACAGAGCATAAAGGTCAAAAAGGCTCTGTGTTCAAATCCCCGCCATTTCCTGGGAGGGAAACTGACTAGGATGGGCTGATCATGTCGGATAGGGCTCAGGGTACCCTCCCAGTCTTGACTCAAGGCATCCAGGAAGCCATATGTGAGAGGTGCCCTTTCTCAGGCTTGGCCTTAGGCAGAGTTCTAGCAGAACTGCAGGCTACAGGTGAGCTCTGTGGCGCATAGCAGGGAAGTAAGGATAAGACCAGGAAATGCCCCAGGGACAGACTCCCCTACAACAGAGAGCTAGAAGACCAAACAGTCTTTATAGGTGGCTCAGCTCCACTGGCAGACACTCCTGCACCATGAGCACAAACCTACACCCCACTTTGGGTCAGCTTGAAGACCGGTGTGCACTCTGGACTCGGGCAGATTTCTATGTCTGAATTCTAGCTTTGCCTCTAACTAGGACATTTATTCTCTGTCTCCAAGCAGCTTCAGCTTCTGCACTCCTGAAAGATCACAGAAAACCAGGGTGAAGTGTCTGATACAGTGATTCAAAGTCAGCAGTGTATGCTATATTTACAGACACAAAATTTATTCGTTTGCTTGGAGTTAGTTCCCTTGGCAAGACACTGCTCCTTTGGAAGTGCTGCCTAGCTGCTTTCTCCAGCAGGTATCTGAGGGTGAGGTACAGATTGTGCTGAGGGAGAAAAAAAAAAAAAGGCTTAGTTCAATGCAGGGAGGCCTACCTTCCCATCACTCTGTGGAACTCTTGGCTCTGTTGACATGACAAAAGTAGGCATGTCAAGATGATGAGCACCCTAAAGTGCCTAGAGCAGGAGCTGACTGCATTCTAGCTTCCTTCATTCCTCACCCAGAAATTATCACCCTACCACAGGGGTTCTGAACTTGGGTGCTACAGACATTTGGGGCCAGATAACATTCATGGTACAGACCATCCTCTATGAACTGTGAGACATCTAGCAGCATCTGTGGCTCCCGTAGATGCCGCTAGTGACCTCCCCTCCCTGTTTAAGTCACTACCGCCTAAAATGGCTCTAGATATTGCCAAGCGGCCTATTGGGCAAACCCTCCCTCCATGAGAACTGCTGGTCTATCATGAAGCAGAAGAGTAAAGGAAAGAAGAATGTAGACAAAGGGAGGGGAGGGACCCCAGAGTGGATATAACACTGGACTCCATCTAAAGTCCTCGCACAGAAGAGGGCTTCTATCTGGAATAGAGAATCAATGAAGGACATGTGTTGAATACACAGAAGAACACTTTCAGTGGTTAGTGGTCTCAAAACTCCAGGCAGAAACCTTCTCTGACCTTTATGTCTCTGTTTATCTCGTGTGTATGTTAGGTAGTGCTTCTCTAAGCATTTGCTCAACTCAATATCTGTCTCATGCTCAGTGTGTTAAGCCATTAGTTACATATTTTGTGTGAGGTACAGTTAATTGTCACATCACTCCATGAGACAGGCAGTGCTCCCTCTGTTTTAAAAAAGGGAGAAGAACAGCACAAACGACACACAGAAATTGATCAGGTGATACGATATCTGAAGGCTTTCATTCCTTGATACCAGAGACAAACCTCTCCCACCAATTCTCCTCCCAGAAGACCATTCTGGGGAAGGATACACCATCCTGCATGTTGGCCTCTGTTTTCAGAGTTTTGCGCTTCTGCATCTGACATCAGTGAAGGATATAAATTGAGATTTCTTCTATCAGACAAAGGACAAAGGAACACATTTCCAGAACACTGGCCCAGTCCAAGAAGTGTGGGCCCCTGACTCTCATCCCACTGATTGAAGTCCAACTCCATCCAGGATAATCAACTGCCAGTACCCTAAATCCTAGTCTAAACTAGATGACTCAAAGCCAGAAAGACATAGAAGCAAAAGTCACATGGAAAAAGACCCAATTCTAGGTCATACACTTCTAGGAAAGTCTCCCGTCAATCTGCCACTTAGGGTGCCATCCACGGACCCCATCCTGTGTGCAGTACCCAGAAAAATGGTGATTCTGATCAGAGGATGGTGATTCTCCTATGGAGCCTATGCTGGACTTTCAGGAGTGAGTGATTACAATTTGGGGTTCACTGTACTTCACAAGAAATCAAGGGAATTAGCTAGGTTTGAGATTTTGAGGTCACTTGGATATCAACTGTTTGTTCCTGAAGCCTGAATAGCTTCATAAAGAATTACAATCTAATATAAGGGACTTTAGTCTCCTGGAAGAATTGTCTGATCAGCTTCTCAGAATTATGAGCCAAACCACCCTCCCTTGTGCATACTCTCTTTCATTCTGATCTCTAGAACAGCCTTTGCATTTGTAGCTCCCCAAACAACTCAGAACTGAAAATAAGGGCCCCTCAACATCTACGCAGCTCCTCATCTCCCATGGAAATGGATCCTCCACTGTGGGCTCTTCCAGAGTATGATGTTGTAATAAGGCGTTGCAGATGGAAAGGAAGCCAGTGTGTGGAAATCGGGCTTTGGTTCTCCACAGGAAAACATGGCTTGAGTTGTTCAAGAATGAAAGCAGGTAACTAGAAATTGTGGTGCACCTCTATCCAAAAACAGATCACTGGTTAACTGTGTAAAAGTCCAGGCACAGGGCTAGGGAGGTAGCTTGGCAGCCTAAGTGCCTGCCTGGCAAGTGCAAGTGCAAGGACCTGGGTTCGATTCCCAGTACTTTATGCTGTGCTGGCCCTGGAACTCTGGGTGTGTGGTGCTGGTTACTAAAACCAGGCATGGTGGTGCATACCTGTAATCTGAGTGCTGGCAAGGCTGAGACAGGAGGATCACTATGAGTCGGAGGTGCGTAGTGAGATCCTGTACCAAATAAATAAATAAATGTTCAGGCACATAGGAAACTGGGGGTGCTCAACATCTCTACCCACCCCACAAAGTACTGAGGATTACACCCAGGCAGCACTGAGCTACATTCCTAGTCCCTTTTTTTTTTCCAGACAGCATCTTGCTAAATTGCCAAGGCAGGCCTGGAACTTGCAATCCTCCTGCCTCAGCATCTGTGTAGGTGAGATTACAGGCATATATGCATCATGCCCAGCTGGGCTATGTTGGATATGATGTACCAAACTGTGTATCTTAAATACACGCAAGAGCAACATCGCACAGGCCCTGCCTAGACTGCTGAGGGCTGAGACCCAGAGGGCAGAGCAAGGAACCAGCCACCATCCCTGATACCCAGCCTGTACATCAACTACAAGAATTCCCCAGCTGCACAGAGCCCCAGCTGCCCACCACACTACTCTAAACACATGGGTGACCTTAGCAGGGCTTGTTATGCAATACCAAAGCCTATAGAAATAGATCCCCTTTAAGCCATTCCCCAATGAAATATGGGTAACTGTGCTGAGCTGCAAATCTTTTTTTTTTTTTTTTTTTTGCAGTACAGGGGATTGAACTCAGGACCCTGTGCTTGCCAGGCAAGTGTGCTTATTCTACTGAGCTATCTCCCTAGGCCTGAGCTGCAAATCTTATCAAATATCAGTGGAATCCCACCCATGTCCTTTTCTCTTGAGGTGCTCAGCTTGGTGAAGGCTGGGCAAGAGCTATACCACTAAGCTACACCTAGCCCCCTCCAATGAATACTTGAAATGAGCTTGTGTGAGGTAGTACATATCTGAAATTCCAGCATTCTGGGAGGCTGAGGCAGGATTCCCAAGTTCAAGCCCCACCCTAGGCAATTTAGCAACTTAGGGATACACTGTCTCCAAATAGAAAGGGTTAGTGACCTTGTTGTTCAGTGTGAAGGCCTGCGCCCAATGCCCAGTGCTGCACATCAATTTCTCAAAAAAACAACATACATTGAGGGTGATATGTCACATGCTGTGTAAATAAACTTGTTTTTCTTTTCGGTGATAAGAGTTTCTAGCTATGTCGTGAACTCACTGTTACCCTCCTGCCTCAGCCTTCCAAATGGTGGGGATTACAGGCAGGCTCCACCACACCCCGCTGCTGTGTAACAAAAGTGAAAGAAGCCCAAGTATGGCAGGTGACAGTGAGTCTGCAGGGCTACACCACCTACTCTGTGTGATAAGAACACTACCATGTTCCCACGATGAATTCACTTCCACCTAAAAACACGGATCCTGCACCTCCACACTGCTAAGAAGCACAACTCTATTAATGCATACGTTGCTATGCTATGTCACCCATCCCATCTATACCTGCCTGCCTTTATCTCCTACTACAATGCTCCTTTTGATACAGATCTGATGCAGTCTATGTGTACCCATGCATTCTGAGGTGGCCTAATTATTCAGTTCTGTTCCTACTCTTTTTTTGCTTGTTTTGGTTTGAAACAGTCTTGCTATGTAACTCAGGCTGGCCTTGAACTCACTGTAAGCCTCTTGCGTGCTGGGGTGACAATGTGTGTGCCGCCACCCACACTTCCTTGATACCCTTAATAAAAGCCCTTTACAATTTAACATGCATCACCTATAGGACTGCCTCTGCTTGCCTCTGGGTGAACATCTCTTCCCTGGAGCCTCCTGGATGGATTAACTGATAATACTTGCTTCAATGTTTCCACCAACTCTAGCTTTCCGGCTTTCTCCTACTCTTAATAGAAAGACTTCTACAACGCAGTGTGCCACCTTTCATGTGTCCCCAATTGCCTCAGGTTAAACATCCCCTCCCTGGAGCCTGCTGAATGGACTAATGCTGACACAATTTTAGCCAAAAGACTGAGATTAACAATAGTTATGGTGTTTAAACATCTCCCCCTGGACCTTCATTTAGTTGAGCACAGGACTGGATCTTAATACCTCTATCTTCTCACAACCTAAGTGTCAAGACTTGAGCTGCTTGATATTCATCATATATACAGCGGGTTCCCTGGAGGGGAAACACTCCGGAGTGGATTGGAAGTTGCCCAAATGTTAGAAAGACACAGGTAGGCCATGCTGAAGAGACCGCAGGCATTGAGAATGAGAGCAAGACTGGAAAAGACCAGTTTACGGTGTAACTAGAAGGGCCCCAGAGAGGATCTGGGAGGTACTGTCCACCCTGAGAACTCAGGAAAATGCAATCAGATCCCAGAACCGTGGTCCACTTACTATGGGTGGAAACTCATTAAGTCTGGGCCCTGACAACCACATGATGAAGGAACTGGCCAGAGTGCAACTCCCAAGGCTCCTAGTTAAACAACCCCATTTTACTTGAAATAAAAGTGGTACCTCCCTTGAGGACCAACCTCCAGGGCACACATCCTATTTTCTAAGCCTAAGCAAGAACCAGCATGTGACTGCTACTTCACCACTAATGAGTCCAGGAAAACTTCTGAATGAAGCCTGGGGGACAACTAGAACTTTTGCTCAGCGGTTTGTGCCACTGCCCCTGGATACACACCCAAAGCCTGACAGGGAGAGTCCCAGGCTTCAGGAAGCCACACAGAAGCCCTTAGCCAAACACCTGTGTACCAGGCGCTGAGCCCAGCAGAACCTTCAGTTGACACTCGTGTGAGATGAGCTGGGAGCCAATTCGGGGCCAGCAGTTCACATGAGCCCAGATGCTCTTATTCCAGGTCCAAGCTTAGTAAGCTGTTCACCCACTGCTTCCTCTGCACAAGGGTGACAACTGGCTTCCTGGGGGGAGAAGAGTAGCTATTACCTCACGTATGCATTCTCGTTGGGTGAGGTAGAGAAACTACTAAAAAATATGCTTACAAATGGAAGCTGAGGTAATTGTTAAGACCCCAGGTTAGCATTTGTCTGCACAAAATAGACTGACTTATGTATTTAGATTCTCAAGTAAAGGGAGTGATTTAAGCAAGAGCTTTTATTAACAAATCAGTATAGTAGCAGTGGATTAAAGACACACAGTGACTCTTTTGTTCCACAAACTGAAAGATTTTCCTGGGCAAATGATTAAGATTTTGGCCAGTGGTATTGGATCGTGCCTGAACTTTCAATTCAGGAAGTTGAGGCAGCAGGACCTCACGCTTAAAGCCACCTGGGCAACCTAGCAGACCCTATCCAAACAAGAGATAAATAGATAAGACAGACAAATATGTAAGAGGGCTGGTGCTGTATCTCAGTGGCAGAGTACTTGCCTAGTATGACTGACTTCTGGGTGCAATCCCCAAAGCCGTAAAAGTGAATAATTAGGATCTCAGAGGCCAAACCAGGTAGAAATAAATGGACTCAATGACTGAAATGTAGCTTCAACTGCCTTGAAAGCAAGAATGTAAGAGCCCAAACTTAGCCAAAGGTGGTGGCACACACTGTAAACCCAGCACTTGGGAGGCCAAAGCAGGGAGGATCACTGTGAGTTCAGGGACAGCTGTGGTGCCAAATACCTATAATCCCAGCCCTTGAGAGACTGAGGCAAGAGGCTGGCTAGCATGAAGCCAGCTTGGGTTATAGGGAGAGCTCAAGAGAGCCTGAGAAACAGCAAGACCCTGTGTCAGAAAACAAAAAAACAAAAGAAAAAAGAAAAAAGTAAAAAAAAAAAAAAGACCAAGGATGGAGCTTAGTGGTAGAGAACCCCTGAATCGTATTCCCAGTGCCAAACAAAACAAAGCAAAGCAAAGCAAAACAAAACAAAAAGAACCATCAGAAATACGTATGACTGAGTGCAAGGGTTCTAGACAGCACCTAGCTGAGTGAGGAACCTTCTTCCCACCAGGAAATAAAACAAACAGATCACAATGAAATATCCATAGCACCTTTACAAGTGATAGTTTTATTTTTCTCAAATAGGAAGTCTGTAAGAGATAAATCCGCAGCTAACACAGATACTCCAAGAAGCCCTGGGGACACTATAGAATCACTGTGACCCTGTGGCAGTGTTGTCAGTCCCTAGCTTTCATCCTCATGGTCATGACATCGATCTTGTAATACTAAGGACTAGGTCCTTAGTATTACTAAGGTCCTTGCATGGTGAGACACAGGAAACAGTAAAGAATGTAACAAGAACCCAGGAAGGGAGGACCCTTGCTCAAGGCTTTCCTCAGAAACCCTCACAGCAACCTCTGCTTATTTGTCAATGTGACCAACATTGTGTGACACAGGCAGGAAATATTGAAAGGAAATCTCTAAGAGATTTTTAAAAACAGTACACCTCACAACCCCAATAGGACATGGGTTCCTCTGACATGGAAGATGACAGTGGACATGGAGGAAGCAACTGGAAGCCTATGCCCCCACCCGTGGCTGCACAGGAGGCCACAAGCACATGGAAGGGTCCAGGTGACGGAGATTTCATGCTCTGATCGCATTCCAATCAGGCAGCAGTAAAAGGTACTGAGAAATGTCTATGTTGCCCAGCATGTAACATAATTGTGAACTGGCCATCCATCGATGAAGTTATTCAAAAGGAAGGAAAGACATGTCAAGAATGAAGCTCTTGTAAAAATATTACATATAAACCTTTTATGATGAGGCCTAAGGCTTACTGAGAGGAGCATAATCTTAAAAATAAAGAGAAGAGTTACTCTGCTGGACTCTGTGTTTGAGAACAAAGAATGGTAGGTACAGTCTGGAGCTCTCTGGAGACCAGAGGAGGGTTTTTCTCCCAGTGAGACCCAAATATGCACAGGCAAGTAGATGGTGGCTGAAATCCTTTCCACACAGGGGTCACCAGTGAGCTAAGTCACATGTTTCCTAAAAATCTTGTGATTTTAAGATTTAAAAATAAATTTATCCTAGTAGAACTGGCCCTAATGATCTCTGAGACCAAAGGGTTTCTGTAGACCATGACGGGGGAGGAACTAGGATCGCTTTCCACCTCTGGAAGACTGACTTTCAGCACACACTATTCACGACATCGGGGGCTCGTGTGGGTGGCAGGAAATTCAGCAGCACCCTGATGCCTTGCTGCAGCGTAGTGGGAGCACCATGCCCTCATGCTTCACCCAAAACTATCTCATGCACTGGCAAACCTCCCTTGGATGGCAAAACTTCTGCAGGTAAGAGCCAGGCTATAGACCAAGGACAGGCCAAGCTTTCCAGTCAGTAGCAAGTGTATAGGCATTAAGGACCACTGGCCATCTCTGTTGCGTGCATCCTCTTTGGAAACAGAATGAGGCTTTGCTTGCCAGCCATACAAAAATCTGACAAGCAGGTGTGGTCTGCTTCCTGCTTCTGTAGACTTCCTCATATTTCACACTTGGTAGCTTTTTTACTCTGGTGATCTTGCTGGAGGAACAGAGAGATCAAGAATTGGCTTCCCCAGTGGCCACTCTGACAGAGATTCTCTATTCTGTGCCATTACTGACATCCAGTGCCAAGCTGGGGTTTCTCTCTCCTTATTGATATATAAGAGCTTGAGGTACTGAAAGCTGACTCTAGGGCAAATACATATCCTCATCCTCCAACCAATAGCCCATATGAAATAGCTCAGGTCTTACAAGCTTTGCACAAGCTGGATGTTTGAATCCCATGTGCCTTCTGTCTTGCTTGCTTTGGCCAAGACATGATCTTACAACTATGTCATTCAGGCTGGCCTCAAACTCACAACCCTCCGGCCTCAGCTACCCAAGTGCTGGGATCATGGATACTGGCCACATCAGGCTCTACCAAGGGCTCCCACCTTCCTCATGCCACTGCAGCTGCCTCTGGTCTGAGCACTCACTGCAGCCTCTTCCACACAGAGGAGGCAAAGAGTTTCTCTCCGCGATGAGTTTTAACATGGCTCCGCAGGGATGAGTGGTCACTGAAGGCCTTCCCACAGGCCAGGCACTCGTAGGGCTTCTCGCCAGTGTGGATTCGCCGGTGTACGTTGAGGTTGGAGCCAATGCTGAAGGCCTTGCCGCAGTGATCGCATTCATAGGGCTTCTCGCCTGTGTGGCTACGCATGTGTGTCTTGAGGGTGGACTGGTTTCGGAAGGCCTTGCCACACTGGCGGCACTCAACCCGCTTCTTCACCAGGTGCACGCTCATGTGTCGCCTGCGGGACAGGTAATCGCCAAAGACCTTGCCACAGGCTGCACACTCGTAGTGCCTCTCCTGTGTGTGAATCTTGCGGTGCGCAGTAAGGTTTGAGCTGGCGCTGAAGGCCTTGCCACACAGGTCGCAGCCGTAAGGTTTCTCACCAGTATGGGAGTTCATGTGCGTCTTCAGGATAGACTGGTTGCGGAAGGCTTTCCCGCATTGGCAACACTCCACAGGCTTTTTCACAATGTGAGTCCTCATGTGCTTCCGGCGCGACACCAGGTCCCCGAAGGCCTTGCCGCACTCCTTGCAAGTGTAGGTCTTCTCCACAGTGTGGTTCTTCTTGTGCAGGTTGAAGTTGGACTTCCAGCGGAAGGCCTTGCCACACAGCACGCATGCATAGGGCTTCTCCCCGGTGTGGTTGCGCACATGCTCCTTGAGGTGCGAGGGGTGCTGGAAGGCCTTACCGCAGTCCCTGCACTCGTAGGGCCGCTCCCCGGTGTGTGAGCGCTTGTGCGCAATCAGGTGGCAGCTGCGGCCATAGGCCTTGCCACACTCGTCGCACTTGTAGGGCCGCTCGCCCGTGTGCACCCGCATGTGGATCTTCAGGGCAGACAGTGTGCGGAAGGCGTTGCCGCACTGGCTGCAGTCAAAGGGCTTCTCCTTGAGGTGGGTTCGTGAGTGGCTGCGGAGAGCCGACGGATCGTTGAAGGCCTTCCCGCAGTCCCGGCACTCGTAGGGCTTCTCCCCAGTGTGGATCCGCCGGTGGCGCGTGAGGGACGCACTGGTGGTAAAAGCTTTCTGGCACTGGTGACACTCGTGCATCTTCCGCCTGTCGTACACGCTCACGTGCTGAGAGAGGTGCATCCTGCTCCTGAAGGTCACCCCATAGCCCTGGCGGGAATAGGGCCTCTTGCCCACGTGGCCCATCTGCGGCGAGAGGTGAGTGCCCATGCTGAAGACCTCAAACAAGCGCTCATATTCCACGGGCTTCTCAAGGTGAGCTCTGTCCTGCGGGTTAGATGAGAGCAGACTGGCATTGCCCACTTTCGCTACAATCTTCTCCCTCTCCTCCTCTCCCTGTAACAGTGGAGACTGAACCAAGGCTTCCTGAATGCTAACCCACACCCAGGGCCCCTGAATCTAGAAAAACAGAAGTACAGCACCCAGCTCAGAAATTTCAAGACCTTTTCTGTCTCCTTTGCACACTACCAAAGAGAACAGGACCTAAACACTGTTCTATGAGGCTCCACATGTGTTCATGTCATAATGCTTTCATGGATAATTCGCTTAGTGTTTAAAACCAAGATACAGCCAAGTGTGGGGACACATGCTTGTTAATCTCAGCTACTTAAGAGGCTGAGGAAGGAGAATACCAAGTTCTAGCCTAGCCTGCATACTCGGCAAGGGCTGTCTCAAACTAAAAGTAAAAAACAAAACACTGAGGACGTACCTAGCATGTGTAAGGCCCTAGATTCAAATCCTAGTACTACACACACACACACACACACACACACACACACACACACACAAACACTCTAGCACTGAGTGTTTGAGATAAGTCATGGAACAAAAGTCTTAGTGAAGAAGTCTATGGCTGGGTTATTTCTTCCAAATGGACAGCGCAGCCCTTAGTATCTCTGCCTTCTGCATCCAGATACAAACCAATGATGGTCTCAAAATATCTGAGGAAAAAGCTAGCTTACGTACTGAATGAGTACTTATGTTCTCCTTGTGATTACTTGTTACACAATAAAAAAATCCTTATGTATCAATAGAGTTTATTATAGGGACTCTAGACATAATTTAAAAGCCTGTAAATGCACGTGGGTCTGACGTAGATGCCATTTTTAACAAGGGCCTTGAGCATTTGCAGATAAAAGCATCTGCAGTACACTGTAGAACCAGCTCCCTGCAGAAACCAAGGAACCACAGCACTCAGGAGGGGGGGGGGGGCTCTATGCCTGCTTCTGATGTGCTTTATTTTACTTTATTTGGTGGGACAGGGTACTGAACCCAGAGCCTCCACAAACTGAGCTTCATCCCTAGCCCACCTAACATTTTTACTCTTAAGTCACCCAGGCTGGGCTTGAACTCACAGTCCTCCTGCCTCAAGTTCCCAGAGTCCTGGGATCCCCGGCCAACACCTCTATGCCTAAGCAGTTTCTAGGTGAAACTGCTTTCCATCTAGAGATGCCCCAGCCTCCTGTAACATTTGGAAAATCCAGTTATTCTAAGCAACTCTTACCATCATCATGCCACTGGATGTTTCATTCCCAAATATATCTTCCATGAGAATTGTCCACTTAGTTTTAGATGGAGTTTCCCAATCTGAAACAAGTCGGAAAAATACTGACTTGTTGGAAAAAGACAATGGTGAGATGACAGGGACCAACACAGGTGGGTATTTTTGCAGATATTAGCTGTATACAAGGATAAGCAGTGCAAAAGGGAAAAATACACGACAGCAAAATGAATGTTCACAACGTTGCCAAGTGAGACAACAGGCAATCATGAGAGAAGAGAGATGTAGGTCAAATGACACTGACAAAAACTTTTTTCTAAATTTCTTTAATTTTTAAAACAGGGTCTCATTAAGTAGTTCAGGCCAGCCTGGAACTCACTATGTAGTCAGGTTGGCCTTGAACTTACAGCAATCCTCCTGCCTCAGCCTCTAACGTGCTGGGGTGACAGGTGTGCACCTCCACACCACGCTGATAGCCGGAGATCATCAGGATGTTCTAGTATAAAGGATGGAACAAAGAGCCCATGTGGAAACACAGCACCAAGATAAAGGGTTGTGCAGACTGACAGATCTGTGACAGAAGGGACAGAGCTAGAGAGGTAAGAGAGAGCACATTTTCTAAGTCCCTGGAGCAACTGCCTAATGTGCCTCCCTGCCCGGGTCTGGGGGCACATGTCTCCCAAGGGTCCTTGCGATGGAGGCCTGGTTGTCACTGTGGTGCAGTATGGTGGGATTGGTGAGGTCCCCTGGGTGCTGCCCTCCGATGGGTCAGTGCTGGTCTCCCAAGCAGCCAGTCCTCACAAGAGCTGGCTGTTATACCAGCAGGAAGGCCAGCCCATCCTTGTCTCTGGCTTCCTGTCTCACCATGGAGCCTCTTCCTCTCAGGTAGGCTCCTCCCAGGGAGGAGCATGCTAGGGCTTCTTCACTATGAACCGAATATACACATGCCATTTTCTGTGTTATCCACCCTCAGAGATTTTGTCAGAGAAACGCTAAATGGGGTTGGTAAACTCTCCAGTCCAATCACTGACTAAAGCTTAAGTCAAAAAAGAATTTCCATTTGCTTGTAGCTCACTGTGTTGGTCAGGCTGCCATTACTGTGAGCAAGTATCTGAGGAAAATGACTTCAAAGGAAAAAAGATTTATTCCAGCTCACAATTTCTGAGGTTTCAGTCACTGGTGACCTGGCTTAATAGCTTTCAGGCTTGTGCAGAGGCAAAAACATCATGGTGGAAAAAAGCTACTCATGTCCTGGCACCCAAGAAACAGAGAAAGAGCTAGTATAGAGGGAGCTAGAGTAAGAATATGCCCTCCACAGCCACTCCCACAGGGACCTACTTCATCCGATTAGGCTCCGTATTGGAGGAGGCCCAGTTAGCTAATAAATTCATGAGTGGATTAATCTATTTGGTGAAGTAAGAGACCTCTGGATCTAATCAGCTTGTAATACCTAAGAGGTCTGGGAGGGCGTTTCTAGATGTAAAGCCTAACGCTGGCTCACCTGGACAGGCCCCTTGTGGAGTGCCCATCTCCTCAGTCCGTGGCTCCTCCTCTTGCTCCAGGTGAGAGATGAGGCTGGGTTTGCCAACCTGATACCCTACTCACAGGGAAAGACACATGTTGAGGGAGGACTGTGCAGAGGACAACCCCTTCCATTAATCTGGGCTGAACATTTTGGTCTTCGGGGTTCCGAAGATACACAAGTTTGACTTAGGAGCAGCAAAATGACGGTTTCATATTTCTAAGGAACACAGTAAAGTCTTTCATAAGAAACAAAAACTTGAAAGCCCACCCATTTTACCCTCCAAAAGAATGGCAATGTTCTTTTTTTGTGGTGGTGAAGCTGCTGGGGACAATGTACATCCTGGCCAGGTGCCCCACCACTGAGCCACATCTCCAGCCTGAGAATGAGGATCCTTTAACCTCTGAAGCCTGTGCCCAATTTCACACTCATCGAGAACCTCCAAGGTCAATGTGAATAGTTCTCAAATCCCCTGGGGAACCCCAGGTAGGTGGGCCCATCTGACCGGTTCTCACTAGTGTCACAAACCTGACTTCTTAGACCAACCAGGTGGGAACCAGAAGCCAGGCTTACCCAGTGAGGTCAAGTTGTTATAGTTCTCCAGCATAACATCTCTGTACAGCTTCCTCTGAGAGGGATCCAGGAGGGGCCACTCCTTCTCAGTAAAGTCCACAGCCACATCCTGGAAGGTCACGGACTCCTGAAATCCAGATATAGGTCAGGCACAACCCAGTGTACTGGTGTCTACAGGAGGGTAGCAGAGGCTGAAGCAGCACAGGATGCATGACACAGGCTCTGCAGATGGCGCACTGTGGGCCTCGGCAGTGCACAGCAGCTGACATTTCCAGACAGCTCCTAATCCCGAGGGGGCGATCTTGCCCCACCCTCTCTATTCAAATACAACTGGACAAGGCGCTAAGCCACGCTCTACCTCTATCTGGCCTCATTTGAGTGTGTCAGCTTTATGCTCCTGTCCTCAGAGGGGACATGCGTGGATCCATGCAAGCACAAGAGGGATGCCTGGTGCCTGAGTATGCCTCCAGACCTCCTGGTGCCAGGTCAGCCATTCAGCACTTCTTAGCTCCCTCCCGGCCCTGGATGAGATCCGGAAAAATGCCAACTTGTGCCCTCAGGGGCCTTCTAGAAAATGAACACCCCACCGGCTCCAGAGCCCTGCAGACCCTTCCTACCTGATTAGAATCCCCGGCGGGCATGTGAGGCACCAGCGCATGGCACGGAAGCAGGCACAGGTCCTGGGAACAGGAATGGTGCTTTGAGGGAGGGAACGCTGACTCTTGGAGACAAGCAGGGTCCTGTGTGGACACAGCTAAAGAAGAAGATCCATCAGGAACAGTGGCCCCCACTAACTGTGAGTGTGCCTGCCCCCAAACAACACACACACACACAGACATGCTAATTAATCCACAAGCAAGGAGCCAGATGGGGGCCTAGGACTGCAATCCCAGCACTCAGGAAGCTGAGGCAGCACTGCCACGAGTTCAACGGTGGCCTTGGCTACACAGCAAGAGCTTGTCTCAATCGACCAATCAACCAACCAGCCAAATAAACCAGAGCAGTCCAGCTTCACGCAAAGACAAAAAAGTGGGTGCTAGGCCTTTCTGCCTATAAGAAGCAATACACAGGGGAGTACACAGTAGTTAGGACCACAAATACTTTAGATTTTTAGATGTTCCTGAGTTTATACAAATACAATGAGCTACCCTGGGATGGAACTCACGTTTAAAGACAAAACCCACCCATCCTTCACAGCTATCTTACATACCTGAAATCCTCAATGTGCCTAAGTTCTGACCATAACCCAAGTCCAGGGTGGAATTTCTCAACTGTGGTATCCAGTTTTGGATTTGGGGATTATGGATGCTGAATCTGTATTTTTAATTCATGAGGGAAAAAACTGAAGCTTGGAGGGTGGAGCTATTACCTTGTTCAAATTTATCAAAATAAAAAATAAAGCGGTTACCCCTCCTCGCCCTCCCCACACACCAGCCACACAGTGCTCACCCTGAAGCTGCCGCTGGATGGCTCCCACCACTGGAGCTCACCCACCGCCCCTCGCAACAGACAACCACAGCGACCCACCCCATCCTCTCAGCCTCTAAGGACAAGAACTCCAAGACTCACCACTCGTGGAAAACAGGCGGGAAGCTGCCATCCTAGGAGAGCAATGTCAGTGTGGCACAAAGCACGCCAGGAAGCTACTGTCCTGCTCGCGTGGGACTCTCCAAGCTGGTGCCTACAGTAAGTGAAAGGAGATCAGGGACATCAACGGCTCCTCTGGTGGAGACAATTCTGTTTGGTTTGGGGCTTTTCTTTTTTTGAAGAGCAAGATGTCTGACCTGGCCTTCATCTCACATAGCTAGAAGGTCTCAGAGTAGCTTCTAACAGAATCTAGACTTACTCTCCACAAGTAATGCATCACTAGGCACACAATTCAGTTCAACTCCTCCAAAACGCTCTAACTCCAGGCCTCTGATCTTCCTCTTACCTTCAAGGCTGCTATCACTGAGAATGGTTTGCCCATGAGGATGGTCCATCTTGGGCCACAAGTTCTAATCTCTAAATTACAACCCTGTTTCACACCACCAAACATCCAGGGTCACAGCCTAGATCTTACTACAACGGGAATCAGTCTCACCTTCCAGGCAATGATTGGGACATCTGCTCACCTGGGCTGGGGGTGCAGCTCAGTGACAGCACACCTTACTCGCATATGTGAAACCCTGAGATAGGTGGACGAATGGCTGGCTGGGTGAATGGGTGGGTAGGCGGGTGGATGGATGGATGATGGATGGGTGGATGGACAGACAGATGTGTAAGTGGGTGGATGGATGGGTAGATAAATGGATGGGGGATAGGTGGATGGGTGGACAGATGGGAAGGAGCAAGAAAGGAAGGAAATATGTTCTTTGGACAAAGAGCTTTCACTTCACATTACTTGTCCCATTTAAGAGAAAGCTCCAGGACATCTGAGCTTATAATAGGAAAGAGGAGGGGAACTTGCTAATAGCCACTGCCCCAGCTTTCCAGCTAAGTTAGACTCTGTCACTCCTACCATGTGTCTGGGGAGAGTGAAAAGGGTGCTAAGAGGAGGAAATGAAAAGAATTGAGATGTGCTATGTTCACGTACCAACTCTCCATGATGATGTGACCATAATATACTGTAAATATGGACTAATAAAAATAAAAACTAGGAAGCAAATTATTTTTCTAGATTTCTTTGTTTATTGCAACCTTCAAGGAAAGACTACCATAGATGATTCAATCCAACCCTCTCAATCTCCCTGAAGGTACATGGGTAACCAGGCAGCACACAACCAGTTAGTTGGAACATGGCATAGAAACTGCAAGTGGCCAACCCCCAAGGGCATCCATACTCTAGGGCACCAGGCAAAGCCATCATCCAGTGTTGCTGAGATCAACTGCATTCTCACCAGAGTTTCTGATGAGAAAACTTTTTTTTTTTGGTAACTTTTCTTACCCTTACCTTGACTTTCAATAAGTAATCTTGCGTTTTACTCCGTGGTAATCAACAGTAAAAAAACACACCTTGACAAACACGAAAATAACCATCAAAAATAACTGCCTTTACATATATATCAACCACCTATGAATAAATGAAGGAGTCAGGCACGAGCCTGTGACCTAAGCTACCTGACAGGCTATGGCAGGAGGACTGCAAGGTCAAGATCAGTCTGACCAACCTGGCAAGATAGTGTCTCAAACTTGAGAAACTGAAAAACGGCTGGGAGAATAGTTCCGTGCTGCCTGGGATCAATCTGCACAACAGAGGAAAGGTAGAAGGGGGAACAGAGAAGCAGGCAGGGAAGAAAAGAAGTACAAAACCTTGACATAAAAACTATGAAATACTGCTGAATGAAAGACCTAAATAAATGGGGAGTGGTCTCACTTTCATGGACTGCAAGACTCACTACTGAGTTATTTATTGCCTCCAGATTCATTTGCAGACACAACAGTCTCTACCAAAAGCCAAGTAGGTATTTTTTAATAAACTGACAACCCAAACCTAAAATTCTATTTAAAAAAAAATAATTTTAGGGGTTGAGGAGATAGCTTGATGGTCTAAGTGCCTGCCTCACTAGCGCAAGGACTGGAATTCGGTCCCCAGTACTGTATGCCGTGCTGGCGCTGAGACAGGAGGATCAATATGAGTCCATGCTGCAGAGTGAGACTATATACCAGATAAATAAATAATAGAATATTTTTTAAAAAATTAATGAAGGTACTTTGAACTTTTTGAAAAATGCTGGGGGTGTAACTCAGTGGCAAAGCACCACCCTAATATGAACCAGGCCCTGGGTTCAATCTCTAGCACTGAGGAAAAAAAAAAAAAAAAAAATTGAGATAGAAAAAAAAAAAAGATTAGAAACTTTAACTCCATTTTTACTACAGGTACAAAACCTCATAGTGGTTGGTTTTGAGACAGGGCCTCACTCTGTAGTTCAAGCTGGCCCTGAACTCACTACGTAACCCAGCCAGGCCTTGAACTTGCTGTGATCCTCCTGCCTCAGCTTCCCTAGTGCTGGGGTGACAGGCATGCACCATCACACCCAGCTGTATACTCTAATCTGAATTTCTGAAACCTCTTGAATAAAAAATTAATGTTCACGGAAATATTTGCATATTGAGTTACACAGTATCTCAATCTACAAGCAAATCTCACACACACACACACACACACACACACACACCACACACATACATCATAGCCAGGCACAGAGCTCCAAGCTTACAGTCCCAGCTACTAAGGAAGGTAAGGCAGGAGTTTATCTAGTTCAGCCTGGGCAACTCAGCAAAACTCCACAAAAAAAAAAAAGAAAAAAAGGCAGAAAAGCAAGTTATACAAGCGCATGCATGTCACAGTGGTGTTATCCTCAACAGCCAAGGGGGGAAACAACCAAAATCCACACACAGGGGAACAGATGGCAAAATGCAGTGCATGGAATGCTAGGTGGCCTCAAAAGGAATGAAATTCTGAAATATGCTACAGTTGCATGAACTCTGAAGACAAAAAGCCACTATGCCAAGGAAAATAAGCAAGATACAAAAGAACAGGTATTTTATGACTCCACTCTCCACTTACATGAGTTTCCAGGGTGATCACACTCATAGAGACAGAAAGTTGAATAGTGTTTGTCAGGGGCTGTAAAAAGAGAGAAAAAAACAAAACAAAACAAAAAAAACAAGGTTTATTTTTAATAGATTCCAAATTTCACTTTGGAATGGCAAGAAGTTCCGGAAATAGACTGTAGCAATTGCAGCACCAACTGGGAGTACTGGATGCCACTTCATTCTGTTTGGTTTAATAATATATAAAATTCTACTAACTTTTTCTTTCTTTCAGACAAGATTTTGCTATGTGGTTCAGGCTGGCCTTGAACTCATTTTGTAGCCCGTGCTGGCCTCATATTTGCAGATACGCCAGCCTCAGCTTTACCACTACTGGGGTTACAGGAGTGCCACCACTGCTGGCTCAAGATATTTTTAAATGTCAAAAAGAAAAAAAGTTAAAAGCCTGAGTTCTGGGCTAGGGATGAAACTCAACAGCACAGCGCCTATCTGGCAAGCACAAGGTCTTCAGTTCAATTCCCAGTGCCAAGAAAAACAAATTACTGAGCTCAGTTTGTTCTTCAAATGGTTTAGGGTACTATTTCCTCATTGTTCATTTTGCTGTTTCCCCTTGTTATTAATCTTTGGTTTCAATTTCATTAACTGAAATTGAATGCTGAAACGATTGCCATCTGGTATGATTTGGTATCACAAATCAGACTGTGCTTAATGTTTTTTATGACACCACTCTTCAGCAGGACGACCTATTTATTTCATGTACGTTAATGTAGCTATACACATGCTGTTATCATTTATACCTAGATGTCCCCCAAGAGCCTCGTGCACTCATCAGAGAGCTTGTGAAGGTGACTGAGTGATGTGGGCTCACAGCTAACGTGGGTCTGGTCATGAAAGATGTGACTTGGGGTGTGGCCTGTCAGGGTTTATCTCTCCACAGCCCCCTCCCTTTCCTCACTGCTTCCAGGACTTTCTGAATGCATTCTTGTCGCTTATTCATCAACTTGTGAGTTACCCAATGTGTTCCCTACAAATATAAAGACACCAAATGAAATTTTAAGATAAAAAAAAAAATTACAAGCGTTGTAGAAGGTGAGCGAGTGTGGCAGTGCAAGCTGTGATCCCACTGTTCTGGGAAGCTGAAGTAGGAAGGTCACAAGCTTGAGTCTAGCCTGGACAACTTAGTGACTTCACAAGGCCTTGTCTCAAAAATAAAAAGTAAAACAGGGCTTCGGAATTAGATCAGTTCAAAGGTCCTGGGTCCAATCCCTCATACTGCCAGAGATAAAAATAAAAACCCAGCAAGGCACAACTTACGAAAACACAGGTAAAGGTGACATTGGTCACAGAATTCCTCTCAGCCACTCGTATGAACAAATGACTATGTCTTTGGTGGAATACAGAGCTCACACCACATAAGCCATGAGCCACTCATGGGTCTCCCTGAACCCTGCAACAAACCAATCAAAAAGACACCCTCAAGGGCCAGCCACATAGCTCAGCAGGTTAAAGCGCCTGCTTAGGCAGACACAGGGGCCAGGTTTGATCCCCTGAGTGCTGCCCCCACATCCAGGGTGTGCTGAAAGGGCGACCGAGACTGGGCATGGTGGTGCGCACCTGTAATCCCGGCAGCGTTTGGGAGGCTGAGCACAGGCAGATCACCATGAGTTCAATCTATGCAGCGAGACCCTATACACCTGTACTAAAATAAAAAATAAAAAAATAAAAAAAAAAAAGACAAGACACCCTCAGCACCATCAGAACTGTGCAAACAAGTTCAGTATTCACATAAATTGCCTGTGTAACATAGCGAATGGGAGGGGAGGAATTGGGTTCCACCATTTTTTTTAAATTTGGGTTTTTGATGTATTTTTTGTTTTGTGACAGGATCTCACCATGTAGTCCAAACTGGCCTTTAACTATGTAATCCAGGTTGGCCTTGAACTCAGTGACTGTCCTACCTCAGCCTTCAAAGCACTGGGATTACAGGTGTGAGCCACCTTGCCTGGTTCCAATTATTTTTTCTTTTAAGGACTCCACCTTTGGAGCTGGGGAGATGGCTCAGCAGTCTAAAGAGCCTGCTTAGGCAACCTTAGGCAAGTGCAGGGACCAGGGTTTGAGCCCTGCCCCCAGCGTGGGCTGAGCCAGCCAAAAACAAAAAACAAAAAAACCCCACAACAAAGGACTCCATCTTCAACTATAAAGCCTAAATTCATTCTTTCACTGAAGTGGTGGGAGGGAGGCTTATTCAGACTGACAAGTGAGACTAAAAGCAGAATCCAATCTCAATACCATCACAATCCACAGCTGGAATACAGTGAATTACTGGCAAACATCAGTTCCCTTCCCTTCTCCCTTAAGCAGCAGGAAGAAAGCTACAAATGTTGCCCTATTCTGTTTTCTGTTATGTCCCAGCTGAGATCAGCCCTGCAGGCCCAGGGAGAATGGGACAATTAATGTCAGTTTCTGCGACTCTCTAAAAGCTTCTTCCCAGTCACTGTCTGGGGTGTCGAACACCAGGTCACCACTGAGGCTCACCAGGATGACAGGTCTGCTCCTGGATGACAGGTCTGCTCCTGGAAGTACACTGGCATCACCCTCAGCTCCTCACTGATTGTGGTGCCATTAACAAGCTTCCCACACCCCACCTCCCATCTTTCCTTGCGGACATCAATCTGCACACACAGCACTTACACCAGAATGCTGCTCTAACCTTCCTGGCCTGCCTCATCAACATGAGCACTGTGTGGGTTGGGCCACAGGTCAGAGGCCAGAGGCCATGAACCCTACCCACCTGACTCTCGAGCCACAGGTAACCTAAGTCACCTCCACAGCCCACAGTACATGAACGCCTTCACGCTTTTGTTTGAAAGTTTTGCTAACACAGAACTGACTGGCCTGGAGATCATATTTCCTGCTTTTACTTCCCAAATGCTAAGATTATAGGCATGTGCCACCCTGCCAGGTGACACCAATTTTTGTTGTTTTTTTGAGATGGTCTAGGTAGGCCATGCTGGGCTAGAACTCTAAGCAATCCTCTGCCTCAGCCCTGGCTTCAGTTCTTCTTAGGACTCGTCCTCCTCTGTATACCCTTAAGAGTCAGGAATATCTTTACCCGACACATATCCACACCCTGAAACCTCCTGCCCTCTGGGTGTTGGCAACCTGGTTCCATGACATTTTTGGAAAGGCTGGGCTGAGCTTGTCCCCAGGCTCCAAATGACAGCCCCTGGCAACCAACCCACCTGTAAGCCCGGAGCTCCCCCCACTGGGGCCCCTGCTCAGAGTAGGTTCAGCTTCCTTATCTAGACATTGAAGATTTCAAGACTGGATTATGGGACGCTAGACTCACTGAACACTCACTCTTATTACAATTTACACCTTATTCAAGCAGACACAGTGATGCATGCCTGTAATACCAACACTCAGGAAGCTGAGGCAGGAAGATCTTCAGGAGTTCAAGACCACCCTGGACTACCAAGAACCTATGTTGAATGAATGAATGAGTGCTGATGCACACCGCTGATCCCAGAGCTCTGAGATGCTGAGGCAGAGAGATTGCAAGTTCAAGCCTGATGCTGGCAATTTACCAACTCGGTAAGAAATTATCTTGAATAAAAAATAAAATTTTAGGGGTTGGGGATGTGGGTCAGTGGCGCAGCGCATGCCTAGCAAGCACAAGGCCCCAAGTTTGATTCCTGGTACCAAAAAAGAAAATAGTAAAAGACCAAAAAAAGTCCCTTTGGAAAAAAAAACAAAAAAATAAAATTTTAAAATCAAAAGGGGTGGAGATGTAATTTAGTGTGAAGGCCCCGTGTTCCATTTGTGGTAGTGCAAAAATTTAAAAAATAAGAAAAGGGCTGAAAATCAGCTCAATGTTGAGATCCCAGGTTCAATACTGACAGGTCTTCTCTAGCTGCCCAAATCTCTGGCCTCCACACCACTGAGCCTCCAAATTGCCCAACCTCCCTCCTCCATCCTGCAGGATCTTCTTCCACCCCACAGTGCTTGCTGCAATCAGCCAAGGCAGCTGTGCCAGTGCAGGCCACAGACCTATGTCAGAGTAGCCTCTCCATGACGGAGGGGCCCGAAGCCCTCGTGGGTGCCCCCAACCTGCGCAAGGGTCTGGTCTTTTGAGCATTCAGGTTAGGTCCCCAGGGTCAGGGATGCTGCCCTTCAGAGGACACAACTTCTGCCTCATCCTGTCCAGGGGCATTACTCGCACAGGAATTCTGGGTAAAAGCCCAAGAGGAAGAGAAGAGGGCAGGAAGAAGAAAGAAAAGCAGGCTGCCCTGTGAGTTTAAAGGCAATGAATAGTAGCTTTAAAATGCTCCACAAAGAAGACTCCAGACAAACGGTTTTTCCAAGTACTGCTATTTTAAGGAACACACAAACCAGGTTCCCCATCCTGTTTTATGAGGGTGGCATAAACCTGCAAAATAAAAGGAAATTTCACTCAAATATACACCCAAAATCTGCAAAGTAACAGCAAACTGAAGGCCCAAACTACAAAACAGTAAGTATCCTTTCCAGATAAGATATTTAATAACACAAATTTAAGGTAAAAGGAGGAAATCCATGGTTCAATTCCACCACACTATGCAATTAAAAACAGAATTGTTTTTATATAATATTATTTCATTCATTCAATACACAAAAAACACTGAATTCTTATCAAAGGTCAGGCATCATACACAGTGCTTGAAATATATCCATAAGCATATAGATGATAAAAAAAATTCACCTTTTAAAAGGCTGCAGCAATTTACAAAGGAAAACTTCTAAACTAGAGAAAAGGGGCTTCCTAGGAGAAAACTTGCAGCAAATTCAAAATTTAATTCCCTTTAAAGTCAGGAAGGAAACAGAACTGCCTGAGGTCTGTTCTCCAAACTAGTCAAGGGTCATGTTAAGCCCCAACCAGCCCAGCAAGAAAAGGAAATAGAAAGTACAATTCAATGAAGAATAAATATTTATTTAGTTACTTTACAGATGATAAAACTTATCTATGGGAAACATCCAAAGATAACAGAAAAATTAGGAACATTTTTTCTTCTTTGTAATCAAGTCTTGGTATGTAGCGTAGGCAGTTGGCCAACTCCATGTCCTCCTGCCTCAGCCTCCTGAATGCTGGAATTACAGAGAGGGGCCACTATGTTCACCTTAAGAATTCAGTATCTGAGCTGGGGCTGTCACTCAGTGGAACAGTGCTTGCCTAGCAGGCATGAAGTCCTGGGTTGAATCCCCAGTATGACCACCACCAAGAGAACTAAGTACTAAAGACAACATGCTGACCTCAAATTCAGTAAACCAAACTGTGACTAAAGAACATCAAAAAGCAAAATTCCTAGGGAGAATGGGGATATTAAAAAAAAAAAAAAGATGCGTCAGGTTCATTTTTGCTGAAATGAAATATAGCAGGCATAAAAATGCAATCCAATTAATGGTAAAAACTCAATGGCATAAAAATTCCAATTTTTCTGATCAAAATACTTAAGCATTTTAGGCCATTTATAAATCACTAACAAGTATATAAAGTAACTGGGGAAAATTTATATAGAGGGCCAGCCAAATAGCTCTGTGGATTAAAGTGCCTGTAAGCAGGCACAGGGACCTGGGGTTCGATCCCCCAGTCTGCAGTGCTGGCGCTGCCCCTGGGGCACACTGAGACGGCAGGCATGGTGGTGCATGCCTGTAATCCCAGCACTTGGGAGGCTGTAAACAGGAGAATCACTACGAATGTGATCTAGTAGTGAGACCCTCAACATCTTGTAGACCCTTCCTTAAAATACAGAATAAATAAATAAAACTTATATAAAAGCGGTAAAATCCACACAAAAATCACAGGGGTAGAGGCCGAGGAGATGGCTCAGTAGAATAAGCGCCTGAGTTCAATCCCTGGTTCCGGAGGGGGGGGGGGAAATCATGGGGTTAAGTAGGGGGCAGTATAAGAGTCCACAGCTTTTTCAGGCTTAAAATTGGCTTTCTTGGTCCGGTTCATTAGCTTGCTTTGTCATTACACTTTTTAACTGGGAGTCTATAAAAGCACACTTACCCCCAGTTCCTCAAAAAACAAATAAATAAAAATAAAAAATCAAAGCACACTTTCATTTTTGTGTGTATATCCTATTTTCCAGTTTAAGAATATCTAAAAAGAATACGCTGCCCAATGTAAGACAGCAAAATGTTAAAACTGTACCATTAATAAATTAACTCTCAAGTTAAATGAAGGTTAACCACTGGGCTAACTCTCGAGACTGAGGCAGGAGGATCAGCGCGTTCAATGGCAGCCTGGACCACCGAGGGAGTTCAAAGGTGACCTGGACTACACAGCTAGACTCTGTCTCAAAAAAAAAAACAAAAAAAAAACTTAGAACCTTAAAATTTGACACAATGTCAAATTGACTTTTAACTCTTACTGAGAAAAGAAGCCAGGCGTCCTGGCACACACCTCTCATCCCAGCGCTGGGGGGGGGGGGCGCGCCAGACAGGACAGTGGCGGGTTCGAGGCCAACCAGGGCTGCATGGTGAGTTTAAGGCCAGCCTCAACGACAGAGCAAGACACTGTCTCAGAAATAAAATATAACACAACAAAATAAAATTTAAAAAGTCAGTAACAAATAACGATAGCTCTTATACACTTCTGCAACAGAATGCCAGCTAAAATTAACGAAATAAGTACACCAAAGATTTAACTGAAGGTAACAAAAGGTTCACGTTAAATGTGAACCAGAAGAAAAAGTTCACATATAATAATAATAACAACCAAAGCCAAGACTCAGAGCAGTCCGAGCGCAGCGCCCGGGCGGCACGCCTGCCCCGCGTCCTCCGCTCAGCCCCGCCGTCCCGTCCGCAGCCCCAGGACCTTCCTCACCCAACGCCAGCGTTCACCTCACTTCCCCACCCCCAGCACGCCCGCCGCGCACTCTCGCCCTCACGCCCTGGCTTCCGACCTCCTTCCTTCTACCCCCCTGCACCGCCCTGCTTCGGGACCCTCCGATCCTCAGCGTCCCCGGGCGGAAAGGATTAAGACGAGGAAAGCGGGGCTTACAGGATGGGGATACAAGCCAGGGGAACGGAGGTCTCGGAAGCCGCCGCTGAGGGACGAGAAACTCGTGTGGAAAGACCCATACGCAGCGGGAAGGTAGAAGGTGCCCACCAGGTAGAAGGGAGGCGCGGGACACCTCTCCTTTACCCATGTGTCTCACTCTCCAAATACCTCCCAAGAGTAATGGCTTCCGCTTCACTTCCGCCTTCAAAATCTCGCGAGATCTCATTTGACCTGCTCGAACCAGGAAACGAGAGCCCAGAGGATATTGGGACATGTAGTTCATTATGAATGAGCACTCTCGCTATCGTGACCAAATGAAATCTAACTGTTCAGTACACTTCCTCAACTTCTAATTGCCTTTTAAACGAACCTAGAAGAAAAAAAAAAAGTCCTAGATACTGGGCCTGAAGATGCTCAGTAGCTAACTAAAAAGGATGAGGATAGACATGTCTACCTTCACTGGGTACTGTCTCCCGTTCTACCTTTAAATGTTGGATCAGATGCCTGGTCAGCTCTGCCTGTGAGCATGTTAGTGACTTAAGCAGAGCCTGTCCAGTTTCTGGAGCCAGGATTCTGCCTCTTGGAGTTGTGCAAATTGAGTGGCCACTTTCAGAAGCTTTCTGTCCCATGTAAATGATTTTCCCTCTTCATCTCAACGCTGCTGCAGGCATAGGAATGAAGACTCAGAATGTAGCCTTGTTCACAAAACACTTGACAGGTGTTTAAAGATCCCAAGAAAAGAACAAACTAAAGGCTGATAAAACAGGGACTGGGGTTCAATCTCTGACACCATATGCTGTACCGCCCCCCCCCCCCCAGTGCCCTGAGCCAGCCACTAAGGCTTGGTGCACACCTGTAATCCCAGTGCTGGGGAGGCTGAGAACAGGTGGATCACTGTGAGTCTCAGCGGCATAGTGAAACTCTGTAGCAAATACATTTACACAAACAAACAAAAAGAACAAAATAAAGACACTACTGTAGGAGAAAGCCTATGAAGGATAGGAAGGAAACAGTGATGTGAGCTGTATAGGAATTCATTAACCAAGAGAAAAGCAGAAAAAATACACTGCCAAGGGAGTAGTGTGCAGGTTTCCAAGAGAGGACTCTCAGAGTGTTTTATGGAGGTTTTTATGAGGATTTGCAGATATAGAAAAAAGGTCTGAGTACTTGAATGTTAAAGGTTTTAAATCTTTTCATTGCCACTGGGGACTACTAGAGAGAAGGATGTGTGGAGTTCACAATTACAACACAACTGAACATGTATATAGTAAAGGAATGGCTTTAAAACTAGGTAATGTACTGTGTGTGTGTGTGTGTGTGTGTGTGTGTGTGTGGTGTTGTGGCTTAAACACCAGGCCTTTGCACTAAGTTATAACCCCAGGCCTTTTTTACTTTTTATTTTTGCAAAGTCAAGGCTGGGCTTGCCATCCTCTTGTCTCAGCCTCCTAGAGTGCATGTGGTACCATGCCTAGGAAACTTCATGATGTGTAAAAGGTTTCTTTTTGGTAATTTGAAGAAACTGATGCGGCTGCACAGCATTCACCTTAAAAACAGAACTTAGAGTTTTCATTTTGCTTTTAAGACGGGGTCTTGTTATATAACTTCAGGCTAGGGGCTGGGGAGATAGCTCAGTAGAATAAGCGCCTCCCTGGCAAGCTCAAGGGCCTGAGTTCAATCCCCAGTTCTGAAGAAAAAAAGCCTTCAGGCTGGCTTCAAACTTACTATTGTAGCCTGGTGTGGTGACATTCACCTGTAAGTATGTAACTCTGAGAGGTGGAGTCAATAGAAACACAAGTTAGAGCCTACCCAGGGCAATTTAGCAAATTAAGGAGACCCTGTCTCAGAATAAGAAAGGGTGAGAGTTTTAGCTCTACATGAAACCTTGAGTTCAATCTCCAATACTGAAATAAAGAGAAGAGGGAGAGGAAGAGAGACAGAGACAGAGACAGAGACAGAGACAGAGACAGAGACAGAGACAGAGACAGACAGACAGACAGCAGGCATGATTGCCCACCCCTGTTATCCCAGCTACTTGGAAGCAGAGACAAGAGGATCACAAGTTCAAAGCCAGACTAAGCAATTCAGGGAGATTGTGTCAAAATGAAATGAAAGGACTGGGAATGTCCAGTCATCAGTAGGAAGAGACTTAGGGTACAATGACAACTGGATTTTGTTCTGGGTGGGGGAAAAGGACAGTTTATGAAGGAAAAAAAAGAACACAACTATACCAGTTTTGCAGAAATTATGACTGGTAGAGGCAAATGTTCAGTTTGTTGGTTCCCAAGTCAGTGGATTCAGCAGTCCAAAGTAGAGCAAGTGTTATTGTGGTTTGTGGTCTGGACTAGTTCACAAATACTTAGATTCAGGCTGTGTAAGTACACTACTCTTTCAGTTCCTCCCCAGCTCTATTTTAGGAACTCTGAGCCAAAGTCCAGCCACTTCATGATCTCAGTCTACCCAGGTATAACTTCAAGAGTTCCCTGCCATGTGATTAAGATAATATATGCATTGGATGCTTATTCAGGCTGCGCGGCCTGTTGGGGAGAGTATGAACTTGTTGTGGTTAGTCTTTACTAACTCATAACAGCTGTGCAACTTTAGGGTCCTCACTTAGATTTTCTCTGCCTCCCCTTCCCCATCCCTAACATGTGAGCTAAAAACAATTCAATTAAAACAAAAGACAGGTGTGGTGGCACACACCTGTAAACTTTGCTATTGGGAAGCTGAGGCAGGAAGATCGTAAGTTCAAGGCCAACCTAAGCTATCACCTTGTCTCTGAGAAACAACAACCAAGAAACATGTTTTTTAAAGACACATAAAAAACATCATACAAAACAAGTCAAGAAAAAATAAGGCTCCAGAGAGGTGACCCAGACAGCAGCATGGGTTTTACCCTTGAGGGGCTGTCTAGATAGCATGGAGCAGGGCCAACCTAGCAGGTGTCTTCAGACTAAGGAATGAAGAGCAAGAGTGAAAGATCTTTGGCTTGGAACCAAAAAGAGCTGCATCTTCAAAGAGGAATTGGAAGAAAACCAAATGGAAGTATGGACGGTATCCACGTTTTCCATCAACGAATGGAAGGACACCAAGAAAAAGCTTGCGTGACCAGAATGTGTTACTGTCCAGAAAGCCTACTTCCACGCAAAAGTATGCAAAGCGATAGGAAAGGTCATTCCAAAAGATAAAGAGCCAATATAGCAAGAAGAGGTGATAACTCTGAAATTCTAGTCATTGAACAGCCATTCCTTTGAATTAAAGTAACAAAGAGAAAAGTTAAAAAAAAAAAAAATTACTGTTACCCAGTAACTGGGTCCTGGTTGTGAAGAACCAGTCCTTTCTCCTTGGTTGTTTTTCTTTTACTGAAAGAATTCAGTCAAGACCCATAGGCAGCTGTGCAGAGGTGTAGGTTGAATTTACTGTGCAGCAGATGTCGAGGAATTTACCCTTTCAGTGAGCAGGCAGGCAGTGCCGTGCAGGCATCTGAGCTGCATTGGAGTCTGGATATCATTTCATGCACACGGGAGTTACTCCTGCACTTCAGGAAAACATGGTAATTATGATGCTTATTGGCTTCTTCAGAATTTACACTGGAGTTGCAAATATCTTCTTTTCCCTTTCATTTTTATTTTTATTTTTTTTTAATGTGTTTAGTACAGGGTATCACTACACAGATCAGACTCAGTGATTCTCTTGTTTTCCGGCTCCCAAGCACGGAGATTACAGGCACACACCACCACACCCAGTCTTAATTGCTGTCTCAGTGTGTTCCGGGGGCAGGGCCGGCACAGCACGCCTGGGATCCAGTCCCAGTGCCTGTGCTCTGCCTAAGCAGGCACTTTAGTCTGCTGAGCTATCTGGTTGGCCCTTTCTTTTTGTTTTTAGATGCTCAGGCTTCCCGCAGAGGCCTTAATCATGTAAGAAACTTACACAATAAATTTATGACAGGTAGGTCCTAATTCAAATCAAGTCTAGCCCCAGGCAGGAGGATCTTTAAAGAATGTTTCTCTTCTTGATATCATTGTAGGCTATGGCAACCAGAAATGTTCTATGCCCTGTTCAAGAAAAGGAGCTTGTGTCTTTGGACCTGAGACCCAATAAATTATTATTATTATTTTTTAATACAGGGTCTCACTACACAGCTCGGGCTCACAGTGATTCGCCTATCTCACCCTCCCTAATGCTAGGATTATAGGTGGGTACCACCATACCCAGTTCCAGGGCTGGCACAGCATGTGATGCCAGGAATCAAACTCAGGACCCTGTGCTTGCCAGGCAGGCACTTATACCACTGAGCTATCTCCTCAACCCCCAATATATGATTATAAATGTCTTTTACAGAGATCTTTATCACTTTGCTTAATATTCACTGACATAATATGATATTTTGGACCCCTCTTTGTCCCTCAGGCTGCTACCTAACCCCTTTCCAACCCACGCTAGGTAATTTCAAATTTTAGCACTCCATCAGTGCTATAATAAGGAAAATAACATTCCTAAGATTTGAACATGATCACTGGGTCAAACTTGACTTACCGGGTATCAAAAGAACAGTGCATTTAATAACTATAAGATATGCATGTATTTTTTCAATGCAAGTCCTTCCACAAGTGTTGTACAAGGCAAGGTTTTAGTGGCTTGGAATTAAAATGATACACAGAGTATGTTCCCTGGCCACAAAATAACTAGGCTAGAAATAAGTCACAAAAATATGGAAAGGGACTTTCCCTATAATCAGATATTGAGAAATACATTTCTACCTGTAATCCAAGCAATCAAGAGGCTGAGGCAGAAGGATCACTGTGAGTTAGAGGTCAGCCTGGGCTACAAAGTGAGTTGAAGGCCAGCCTGAATGGCATAGTGAGACCCTGTCTCAAAAAGACCCTCCTGAAAAAAGAAATGCATTTCTAGAATTGCAAAAATAAAGAAATACCTTTCTATGTAACACATAAATTGTTCAAAGGGAGGAACTTAAAGTGACAATTGACCTCATGATTCATCAATGTAGTGAGCCTGGGGTGTCTAAGAGAGGCAGACCACCACCTCCTAGGCTCATCAGAGACCATGCTTCTCCCATCTCACTATGCTTTTACAACTGCTAAGGATATATGAGGGGTTAATAAGGCCCAAGGATGATGGCTACGTCCCATGACTCCCAGCATCCTTCATTCCTGCTCTTGGCAGGCAACCACCACTGC